TCATATTTAAAACAAAACTTATCACACAAGCTTCTAAAATTTAGATAGGTAGTATTTACAATACACATTTGGTGCTTGAACAATTAGTTCCAGTTTACTTAACTACGGTTATTTCTATTGATAATGAGTTGAAACTAAGTGAAAAATCACTATCTCTGGTCGACAATTAACTAAATCAAAATTATCTAGAGATCGTTTAAAGAATAAATAACTAGTTTGATATTTTTAATTTTTCTTAATAACAAAAACATTTTCTTGCGTTATAGCTTTTATAATATTAACTTTACTCTTTTTCCTTCAAATAGAAACTAAAAACATGACGATCGGCAATGGCTAGCTAAAGTTATAACGAATCTAATTTTTTAAAACTTTAAACTTCATTTTCTCGAAACGTGATTTTTCGACTTGATGACTTTTCGCTCTACGGGGACGATATATAAAAGAAAGTCGTGTTAGTTATACCATTTATAACTCAAGAACGGCAGAATAGATTTGGCTGAAAATTGGTAGGGAGGTAGCTTAGAGCCAGGAGACCGACATAGGATACTTTTTAACCAAAATTTTTTTTTTCCGAACATCATAATCGGGGCCGGGAAAAAATGGGATGGTACGCGTACGAAGTCAGGGGCAGAAGCTATATACAATAATTTGTAAAATCAGGATATATTATTGCTTTTTTTGGTGATACGTCTAATATCAAAGCAATTGGGATGATGACAGGGTATGAAAATTAGAAATCTAATCAGTCCGTAAGTAAGGTAATGAAAAAATATTAGACACGTATTTTTTATTTTGTCGTATAATAAAATAATACTTAGATAAAACGAATCAAAGTTTAGGAGTGGGTGGCTAAAACGTCATTTCTACGTATAAAATGTACATACATAGAAGTGACGTGACGCGACATTTCAAATTAATATATCGTCGAAAGTATTCGTTTCTGTAAGAAAATATAAAATATGTTTCTAACAATTTAAAATGATCTACCAGACGGTCATTAAATTAGGCATCTACCCTATTATAGTACTGTAAAGTCCAATCCATTTAGCATGAATTATTAAGTTTAATACTGCCCGCGACTTCGTACGCGCAATCCCGTTTCTCCCATTACCGTAGGATCTTCAGGACGTTTTTCTGTCATAAGAACCTTCTCCTGATGATAGAAAACACGACAAAAAAAATCAGCCAAATCGGTCTCAAGTTATGCCGTAACAACGGGAAACGGGTTTCATTTTATATATATACTAGCTTCTGCCCGCGACTTCGTACGGGCAATCTCGTTTTCTCCCATTTCAATAAGATTTTCAGATTTTTTTTTGTCATAGGAACCTTCTCTTGACAATAAGAAACACAACAAAAAAAATCAACCAAATCGGTGTGGCCGTTCTCAAGTTAAGGCGTGACAACGGCAAACGGGTTTCATTAGTATATAGGTATAAATATAGATGACGGTCACAATACACCTATTGACCAATATCGACCAGATGCATCCTTATATTATAAATCGGAAAGTGAGTTTGTTTGTTTGTTTGTTTGTTCTGCTTTCACGCCGTAACTACTATACCAATTGCTTTGAAATTTTGCAGACGTAAAGTTAGACATCTAGATTAAATAATAGTGTACTTTTTATCCCGGAAAAATTTGATATTTCCGAGGGAAAACAAAAATATTGGTATAGATGGCGCTGTGTGTATTGATATAGATGGCGCTGTATGTTATTTAAAACCAGTCGACGAATTACCTACTTATTGGAAAAATTTAAATAGCGCGATATAACCGAATTCCACGCGAGCGGAAAGCTATATATTAGTTTGCCTGTCTTAAACAGCAGAACGGAGATACTAATTAACGTGA